CTTGAAGCATATCCAGAGACCAATAGGCAGCCAGAGGAGCTCGCGGCGGATAGGTGTTACGTGGGTGAACCGAGGTGCACCCATGATCGCTTGCGCGGCTGCATTCTGGACAAGCTGGAGTCGCCGAATGCTCTTCAAGGGCTGCCCCATGTAGAGCAAACTTGGCAACTTTAAGACTTGTGGAGAGCTGGCTGGAGAATTCTGGGAGTTGAAGTCCACAAGTCTTAAAGTTGCCAAGTTTGGGAACCACTGCTCTAGTCTATACCCTCGCCTCCTCCATTGGCAGCAATCCAGAGCACAGCTACTCCAGAATCAAAGGGACATTGGTTCCAGTGGGGATCTGGCCTAGCATTCAGGTGTGGGTCCTTTTCCCCCCCATTGTATTTGCAGGCTGCAAAAATAAGATCCAATCTCTGATCCCATGCAGAATGCCTTTCCCTGTATACGGAACAACTGCAAGCAGCTTTCGTGTGTCTGAGATCATGGGCTGTTTTTCCAGGGAATTAGCGGCTTTACTGATCCCCATCCATCAGCTTCAGACGACATTGCTCAGCCCCTCTTACCGGCTTCCCGGGAGATCTGCACAAAGGCATCGACCCCACTCTCGCCGTAGTTGCCCTCAGAGGCTAAGGTGGAGACGTAATTCCAGCCTAGCGCTTTAACGATGTCTACCATAGTTTGAGCTTGGTAAGAGTCAGGAGGCACCACGCGGGAGAAATAATCGTAGCGGTTATTGTCACTGAGCTCCGGTGCTGTGGATGCATAGCTTATCTGGGGAATCTGTAGAAGTAGAAGGAAATCATGGGTTAGAAGTGGTATGTTATCCTGAGCCTCCATCCTTGAGTCATGCCAGGGATCTTCCTCCCCAGCTCTTCCTTATTCATTTAGTCCTATTTCTTTTGTAAAAATATTTCTGTACTGCACCATCAAAGGCTCACCAACCTCACATCTTGTCCTCCTCCCTATTTTTATTTTAATCCATTGTGTTTTATCGAATCCTCCCAGTACTAACACAATATTAAGGCTAAATGGTAGCTTTTTTGTTACAAAGCAAAAATGCTCTTAAGAGATGGGGGAGTAATGTGACCCGAGTGAGGCTTAAGCTTCTTTGTCGACTGATTTATGGCATATAGTATGGCTCCCATTAATAGTCACGAACACAGAGTAATAATTACCATAACCGGGTGACAAAATTTGCCCTGTACAAATGTCTTAGATCCATTTTCACAGTATCTTACTTTCTTTTTTCTTTCTCCCCCCCCCCCGTTGCTTAGATTTTATTTTATTCGAAAAGTTAAAATGCCAACTTCAAAACAAAAAGAGAAAACAAAACTAGATAAAACATTTTAAACTATCTGCGTTAACAGGGGGAAAAAACACATATACATATCTTTTCACAATTTCTTAACCAAAAAAAAAAAAGGAAGCAGTGGATGCAAAAGTGAAATAGCGAAATGTTAAAGGCCGAGAGATATTTAAAAATGCTATCGTTTTTAAAATATTAGCAGTTTTTTTTTAAAAAAAATGCGTTGCTAGCCTACAGGCATAGCATGCAACGTATCTCCAGAAAGAAATAATTCCAGGATGTACTGTAAAATGTCTTACTCTCCGGTAAACAGTCCCTTACTTCATTGGTAGGAACATCAGAGTTAGCCTCAGTATCAGCAGGATGCATTTAAAAAGTGTTCATTAGTGCAAGAAAAGGTGACATTCCTTCCTGCCCCACGTGATAAAGTCAACTAGTTTGAGCACAATCTTTAACAGTAGTTCTATTCACGCAACATGCTGGCTTGTCGAGTAAAACACCCCAAACACAATGAGCAGCTCCTATCCTTCCATAACTTTAGTAGAGTTCTGGTCTCCATGGGTTCCTGCCAGTTCTAACCTCTTCTACAGAAGAGGTTCCACAAATCTACCATGCCATTTAGAACCGGTTCCAGCTCCCTCTCCCACCCATCCGCACCACGCTTGCCTCAGCCCCACTCACTGATTGGCTGGCTCACCAATCGCCCCACCCCGCCTCTAAGAGTCCTATCTAAACCTTAAAGTCTTAAAGCTGTCAACTTTGAACACCCCTGGGTTTTTTTTTCTAAAGGGTTAGGGCTGCAAGGGTCTTGTAACTTGACAGCTTTAAGACTTGCACACTTCAATGCCAGCGTTCCTGAGCCAACATGACTGCAGGAGGAATTCTGGGAGTTGAAGTCCACAAGTCTTAAAGCTGTCAAGTTTGAACACTCCTGGGTTTTTTTTCCCCTAAAGGGTTAGGGCTGCAAGGGTCTTGTAACTTGACAGCTTTAAGACTTGCGTGCTTCAAATGCCAGAGTTTCTGAGCCAACATTTTGGTTGCTAATCAAGAGCGTTGTTAAGTGAGTTTCACCACATTTTACAAGCTGGCTATGCCCACCCAGTCACATGAGTGCCAAGCCACTCCCACTCAGTCACATGGCTAGCAAGCCACTCCTACTCAATCACATGACTGGCAAGCCACTCCCACAAAGCAGGCCACGCCTACAGAAGAGGTACTAAAAAAAATTGAAACCCACCACTGCCATGGAAACAACGTGATGCTCACCCATGGGGAAATGTCTTGGACATGAAGGCTTCCTCAAGGTTTTATCTCCTTTGGAAGCTTTTGTGTATATACAGAGTTTCCTTACTGCAAGCAGTGGGGCTCAAATGAAAACACCTTATGGTTTAGGATGCAATGAATTATTGGACCATTGCTGGGTTCCTAAGAATTTCTTATGCTCAGAACGCTTTTTAAATGCATCAAGCCAAATTAGAATGTAAATGAAGTGAAAGGCAGCTGCTACCCAATCATTAAAAAAAAAAGTTGGCCTCAAATATTGCTAATAGTTAGCAATTGCAAACTATTAAAATCATTTTAATAAACTTGTTAATTATAAAATTGCAGCCATTCTGAGTAGGAAGGGCTCTTGGCAATGACTGAGTTTAACCCTTTGCTCCCTGAAGGAATCCAAATTAAAACATCCCAGACAGACAGCTATTTAGCTTCTGTTTGAACTCATCCAATGAAGGGGAAACCAGCATGTCTTTGAGTAGCTGGCTCTATTGCTGAACTATTCTTAGAGAGGTGTCCCCCCCCCCTATAATTCCAATGGAATTTGTCTTGGGTAGACCCAGAATTTTCAGCAATGGTTATGTTAGCTGGGGAATTTTGGCAGTCACAACATCCAACCCATCTGGAAGGTCCTTTCTAGTTACAAGTACTAGATGCTATCATATCCTCCCTGTGTTTTCTGTTCTCCAGGCTCAGCTTACCCAGCTCTTTCCATCTTTATTGATGAAAATATTTATTTTTCCTACAAATATTTTTTTCCCTGTGCTTTGAATTTTATACTTCATTGTTTTTTTTCTATAGAACCACGGTTGAGTGTCCTGCAGTATCCTCCCAAAACAGGCACTGGCTTTGCAAATGCACTCTTTAAGAAGGAGCGCCATCCAAAATACCATCTCCTGAGATAGGAATCCAGATCTTCCCTAGGAAGGTATAGCTGCTATCACCCTCTTTGCTGTTCAACCTCCTTCCCCCAAGTGATGTCATGTGAAAGGCCTGTCTTCTACTTACAGCAAAGAGGCGAAGGACGTTGGCCACCATAATAGAGACAGAGCTGGCAGAGGCCCCAATGACAGCCACCACGCGCTCTGGTTTGGCAATAATGGGTGGCTCCCCATTGGAGCAGCGCACATCGGAAGTGTCCTTCTGAATCAGTGCCTGGACAAAAGTCAATGATTGTTCCAAGGCATAGGTGTCACGAGAGCAGGTATCCAGGATACGGGCCCCCAAAGTTATGTTGGGAAGCAGATCAGGGTCACTGTTGATCTGGTCCAGAGCGTAAAGCATGGCCTCCATCCGATGGATCCCTTTTTCTTTCTTCACCTCCCCACAAGGTACTCCAGCTGGGCCACGGGAATGCACAGGGAACAGGCCTCCGAGAGTGATGTCTCCTTCTATCTTGATTGAATGTGGCTGGGTGGGTGCTTGGCTGTGTACCCAGCCTGGGCCAGATCCTAAGGCCCACAGTGACCAGAACCAAAAGAGAGGGAAGTTAGTAGACTCCATGATGGCTTGCTGTCTTTTTGTGATCTTGGGATGGCTACAGCCTACAAACAGAAGAAGGCAAACATACAATGGAACTGGGTTCAACTCTTATTCCAGCACCCACTAAGATTTGCTATTCTGAGACAGATTAAAAGTTAAACAGTGTTTTTTTTTCCCCTCCTGGAAATTTCATTTAAAATCATTGACAGATGCATGCCCATGTAAGGTTTTCTGTTTAGAATGAGGATATACGAAAAAATTCTTCCTTTAGAAGCACTTATGGTCTACTCCACTATTTTTTGGAAATGTAGTTGTGTACAAGCCAAAGTAATATGTATAAATAAATCAAAATCCATGTGTGACTAAGGCTTTGTTCAAAAACTGACACTCAAATAATCCAGCAAAACTCACAGTGCATCAAATCCACCTATAGTTCTGTCTCAGAGCACCTGAACATTTTGTCCTCATCTCCTAGGCCAGGGATGCTGAACCTTTTTGGCACCGAGTGCTGAAAAGGGAGCACACTCGCTCATCTGGGCCGCGACCAGGAAGAGGAGCTGCCCAGTAGGCATGCGCGCACTGGGAAATAAACTTCTGGCATGTGCACTGGCCAGCTAGTCTTCCAGTTACTGGCTCACATGCACACACAACAATCAGCTGGCCAGCACACATGCTCACGTTGGAAAACGGAAGATCAGCTCTTCCAGTTTCTGGCGCTGCTGCTAGCTAGTCTTCCAGTTACTGGCTCACATGCATGCACAACAATCAGCTGGCCAGCACACATGCTCACGTTGGAAAACGGAAGATCAGCTCTTCCAGTTTCTGGCGCTGCTGCTAGCTAGTCTTCCAGTTACTGGCTCACATGCACACACAACAATCAGCTGGCCAGCACACATGCTCACGTTGGAAAACAGAAGATCAGCTCTTCCAGTTTCTGGCGCTGCTGCCAGCTGGTCTTCCAGTTACTGGCTCACATGCACACACAACAATCAGCTGGCCAGCA